AAATGCAATAGGCCATTTGATTAAACAAATTAACGCTGCACCTTAGTCCATCCAGCCTTTCCAATTTCTTTTTTCAAATTTTTTTTTTCTATTCATTTGTATCGGTTAGGTTTAAGTTGTTGTTTTAGGTTAAGTGAGGAAGCCTAGCTTTAACTTCGCATTTTGTAATTTTATCTCAAGATTGCAATAAAGACATTATTATTATTATTATTATTATTATTAACTTCAAGAAAAACTTTAATTCATGAGTTCTGAGAGAGTTTCATGCTACTGTAATCGATCAAAATACTTATCACAAACATCCAAATGTGACTTTTGTGGAATTTCATGGTTTTTGAAGGATCGTCGTATAAAAATTTCTTAAATCTTTTCCTGAGCATCAGATCAACATCCAGTTTATATTTCGAAAAAAAATTCAATTCACGAATTCTGTAAGCTTCAAGCTTCTGTAATGGGTCAAAGTACTTATCACAGACATATCCAAATGTGATATTTATGGAATTTTATGAAACCCCAGAGCCTGAATCACAGCTTCAAATTGTAAAATCTCTAAAAGCCTCACAAGCTAAAGTAGAAGAGCTGGATAAAGAGTTATTAGTAAAAACTTCTACTGGGAAAGATTTGAATATTTTGAATGACAATCAAATAGAGACTTCCAAATTTATCAAAGACGTATGCAATAATAATAATAATAATAGTAGTAATAATAATAATAAGTCTTTATTTCCAATAGGCCAGAAGCGCAATTACAAAAAAATTAATATTAATTGCAAAATAACAAAAAAGGAAAAATTAAGTAAAATTAAATTAAACACTAAATTAGGAAGAAGAGAAAAAAAAGGTATAAAAAAAGTAGGCTCTGCAGTAGAGTTAGGTATATGCGTTCTCACCAACTCTTCAACAATTAAACTAATAGGGCTGTTAAATATCGCAAATATCATAGATCCCGTTAAAAGTATAACACATCATGTATAATGGTGACCGGACTAACACATTTGTCCGGGGGAGTATCGAGAAAGAAGGTTAGTGAGCGTCTGGCATTCAAACGAGGTATCAGAATGCTAATATTAGACAAAAGGAAAGGACAATCAATTATATTGTGGAACAAATTAAACAAAAATGTAATTAATATCTTTCGTCTAATAAATAAGGATAACTCGTCAAAACGTGTGAGCAAAACCCTGTTGTCACATCCTCTCTCCGGATACACCCCGTCACACTTAAAAACAAGATATTTCAGGAACCTACGCTGAACCGACTCAACCGAGCTCACATAGCTTGCGTAGATAGGGTTCCAAATGATGCCCCCATAATCTAGTTTTGAACGTACAAAGCAGTAATATAATAATTTAATAGTCGATTCGTTTCTAAAGTCTCGACCGTGTGAGGTTGTCTAATTGAGGAATAAAAGTGAAGTTAGCATCAAATATTATTCCTAGATCCGCTATCTTAACAATTCGGTCCAAAGCATCAGTTCCATCAATAGTGTAAGCATACACAACTGGTGCCCTTAACCGAGAAAAACTGATAATGTTGCACTTTGACAAATTAAAACCCAAATTATTATTAACACACCAACGACTCAAAGTATTCAAATTGTCCTGAAGAAAAACACAGTCATCAGTATTGCTTATATCGTGATAAAGCTTCAAGTCATCGGCGTAAGCCAGTTTATTACATGTGATCGCACTGAGAAGATCGTTTATAAACATATTGAACAGAAGCGGGTCCAGATTAGAGCCCTGTGGAACTCCAAACGTTGCAACATAAGCCTTTGACTTGAAACCCTCAACTTCTACAAACTGAGTACGACCCAACAAGTATGACCTAAATACTTTGGTGAGCCATTAAGAAAGCCCAAATCCCTGCAACTTGTTCAGCAACACACAATGATCTATATGGTCAAAGACGTTTTGAAAGTCTCTATATATAACGTCCACCTGACCTAGAGAATCAAGTGTTTTACATACGTTTCCTGATAAGCATGATAGATTAGTCATGCATGACCTGGCATTAACAAATCCATGCTGATCGATCGAAATTACATTCCTGACATTATTAAATAAATAGTTATATAAGATGATTTCAAATATCTTAGAGAAGTTGCAGAGTAAAGAAATCGGCCGGAAATTTGTGACAAGACAAGCATCACCCTTCTTTAGAATAGGAGTGACACGAGTAGTTTTCCGGATCTCTGGGAATTGATTCGTGGACAAAATTAGGTTGTAAATATAAGTTAAAGGATCAGCCAATGCATAGACACAATCCTTAACCAAAAAACGCGGTACGCGGTCAGCACCAGATGTCAACTTGTCCCTTACTTTTTTGCTTACTGCAATTACGTCATGATCATGGATCTCTGATATATCTATGTAAGGAGCATTATTAAAGTTAGGGTTTATATTTGCATTAGTTGAATCAACATAGATACTCTGGAAAAATCTCGCGAATGAATTGACAATATCTTGAGGGTTATCAAAAACGACGTTGCCAGCATCCCTAACCATGCCTGAAATTCTAGACTAGCCTCTTCTACTAGATATAAAAGCCCAAAAGTTGGATGGATCATTACTAATATTACGTTCGGAATTAAGTAAAAAGTCTTGTAGTCATACTATATCTTACCCTTAACCCGCAGCCTCAACGACTTATATTTTTTATGATAAAAAGTAGTTTTGTATTTTTTGAAATCCTCAAGAGCTTTCTCTTTTTTTAGTATGTTACTTATTATTTGCCGAGTATAATAATTTGGGAATCTTCTACGTCGTTTAAATTTTCGTGGAACACAAATGTCGTAGATGTTATCAAGAATGAGATAGAGCTCCTTACAGGCAGAATTGACGTTACCTGAATTAAGTACTGGAGTCCAGTCAGAATTGAGAATGAGGTTGTATAGTAAATGAAAATTGGCCTTTCTGAAATTATATTCCCTTAACAGGGATTAAGACTCTAAACTAGAGCTATTCTTAGAGCTTCTGGGAGCCTTTGGGCTATTTACAAGATTGCCAACAGAATCTACTCAACCATTATGGGTAGTGAATTGGTAGAAGAGCTCAGGGCTGATAATAAATGTAATTTGAGCAACATCAGGTGGTGGAATTTAAGAACTTATTTCAAATTGTAGATGGATAAAGTTTCGGAGCTGAGAGAAAAAATGATAAGGTTGCTGTAGAGCTGGAGCAACTCAAAGCTGTAGAGGCAGCTGAAAATTCTACCAGTCCAACTTTGGAGTACCTATATTCAAGAAGAACCTTTGAAGTTGTTGATTGTTAAAATAGATCATGTGATTGAAAAATTAAGGCCCCGTATTTCAATGTTACCTTAAAATCAAGATTTAGCTAAGCTAACGTTAAGGTGACCTTGAAATCAGTTCATTCAGGTGGCTTAAGATCCACTTTGAAATAATGGAACTTTTATATACGGTGAAACTTGTATTAAGGATGACTTTACGTTATTCTGTACCTTAATTGAAATACCGGCCCTTAATGTGGAAGTTGTAGAGGCTGTATAGGAGATGAAGGAGTTGTAGAGGCTAAGAGAACTGGAGTTGTACTAGAAGCGGTAGAGACCATAGAAGGTAACAGAAAGAGAGCAGCTTGTGGGAGATAGAGAAGTTGTGGAGTCTAAGGAAACTGAAGTTGTCCCAGAGACTAATAAAACGGAAGAAGATCCTATAAGAAAAACGAAGTCGAGAATATATCTATAGTTATCAAGGAAGCTGTTGCAGCTAAGAAAGCTGGAGAAGGTACGTCTTCTGCTAGGTAATTCTCTAATATATTGAAATGCTCTAATCTTTAATGTCTGTAAATTGTCCTCCAGATGTTTCTGCCTGCCTTAAATCTTCCAAGTTTTTATAATCTGTGAAAGTAGGTATACTGAAGTAGATACTCTTTCTCGATTAAGGGTCGGTATTTCAATGTCACCTTCATCCTTAATACAAGTTTCACCCTATTTCGGTATTTCCTTAATTCAAGGTGGATTCTAAGCCACCTGAATGAACTGATTTCAAGTTCACTTTAACGTTGAGGGTACTTTAGGTAAGTCTTGATTTTAAGGTAACATTGAAATACCGGCCCTAATCGCCGTTTCCACCAACTATTTTAAGGGAGCCTTAATGATAAGTATTCCTTAAACTGACATTTCTTCATGTAAAAATGTCGTTTTAGGGAATACTTATCGTTAAGGCTCCCCTGAAATAGTTAGTGGAATTGGAAACGGCCATAAAGGTCAGTATTTCAATGTCACCTTAAGGTACAAAATAACGTTAAGTCATCCTTAATACAAGTTTTACCGTATATCAAAGTTCCCTTAATTCAAGGTGGATCTCAAGCCAACTGAATGAACTAATTTCAAGTTCACCTTGACGTTAAGGGTAGGTACCTTAAGTAAGTCTTGATTCAAGATAACATTGAAATAACGACCCTAAGGGCCGGTATTTCATGTTACCTTAAAATTAAGACTTATCTAAGGTACCCTTAACGTTAAAGCGAACTTCAAATCGCTTCATTCATGTGGCTTAAGATCCACCTCGAATTGAAGGAACTTCGATATACGGTGAAACTTATATTAAGGATGACTTAACGTTATTCTGTACCTTAAGGTGACATTGAAATACCGGCCCTAAGTCTCTCAATTTCTCAGACCTTACTGCCTAATGTTTCAAAAGTTCTGGAGACAAATTGTGAAATTGAACAAGAGATATAGGTAATCTGAAGAAAATTTAAAAGAAGATAGAGCTAGAAACGTTAAAAAACTTAAATTTTAATATTACAAAGATCTGCTACAGAACAAGTTCCATTCAAAAGTCCTGTATTATCCAGAGATTTTAGGATCCATTTTATTCTAGGAAAATCCTCTTCAAATGCCGGAAGTTCACCAGTAGCTAATTTATTTTCGGGTTAGTTTTTTTTTCTATGCGACTTATGGCGCTAAATACACATAGAGCGCCGAGACGCTCAGCGTCGCAGGCTATTTTCAAAAAGCTGGTCAGTCGTCGGAAAGCGCTTTAATAAACGCACGTCGTTCCATATTTTCGCCGATTTTCATTTCGCGATCGTGACATCGGTATTAGTTTTTTCAATGTTTTTTTGTGACGTCAAATATACGATTTTGTGCCAAATTTTTGGATTTCATGGATTTCATAATTGAATTAAAAGGATTTTCCTTATAATTATCAATAAATTTACAAATTTAATAGTGTAGGTTTGTTGCTGAGCTAATTTTCTGAAATATTTCTATATGGATCATTGGACAATTTACAAGCTAGCTGGCCTATTTTTCGAAAACATATGCTAAATATTGCATTTCTAAACTCATTTCAGTTTCACAATTCAAATGGGAGGCTGATTCAAACATCATCTGTCAAGACAACCAAAATTTTCTTAATATAATTATTTTTGTTCCCTTCTTAATTGTTCCTGGCTAATATCCCGAACCTTGACTTTCTAGCTATAATCAATCTAAAATAGCTATAATGCTAAAGTTTAACTCAGTTAGCATAATAATTCGGACTTGAAAGAGTTAGATTTTCAAGAAAAGTTATGGGACAAAAAGTGAGTAGTTGCTGCAAGTGTTCTTCAAATAAAGGACGTCGTCTAGCTTGTTGCGAAAACTCTTCGCAAGGGTAAGAATCAAAATTCCTCTTGCATATATAAATTCTATATTTAAATACCAACTACTAGTTTAAAATTAGACTTTTATTAACTTAACTCGAACATTAAAACAAAAACACCGAATGCATTCTCTATAAACACACAATCTGATGTGGCTAGGAATATTTTTGGGTTTTACGTCAGAAATAGATTTTTTTTTTTTTTGAATGGGGATTATCGGTTTTACTACTATGAAAAAACCGAAGATCCGGAGAACGTTTTCGTGACTGGTTGGCTGTTTTATAATCGAAATTTGCTTTTTGTTATGTTTGAACTGCATCCAAAAAATTTAATGGATAATATTGAAATTTTCCAAAAATAATATTTGGCGTGGGTAGACGTAATATGAATAATTGTGAAAATAATTACCGAATTTTCAAGATTTGTGTCAGCTTCATAGTCAAATGCATTTTTGCAGCTGGGTCACTTCAAGAAGTTACAACTTGATTTTGTAGATTGTAAAACTGTAGCTACCTTATGATTTAGATTTCTGAAAATTTTGGAAGATCATTCATAACTTTTGTTGGGGATCGGGAGTTGACCGATACCACGAATGTTGAGTACCTGGATTTTTCCGCTCGCTCCAATCTCGTACTTCGATAATTGAAACTCGGTATTATATAAAAATGTTTCATTTATTAAAATTCTTGTTGAGGGGGGGACACTTAGTTAAGAATGTTGAGAGGCAACCCGACTGTTCAGAGTGAAGCTCGGAATCTGAATACCTTGCCTTTAACTGTCTTCCACCAAGGAAGGCAAGTTTGGACCTCCCTAAAGAAGGGCATTTTACAATTTCCTAAAATTAACTACTTATCCTAACAACAGATTTCATTTAGGTGCTAAAATGTTACGAAACGTTTGTACAATCATAAACGTAAAATTAACATAGGGGTTGTAATTCTCGCCATCTGTATTATAAAAAAGGCCTGGAAAGGTACTATGTCTTTGGCGGCAAGAGTACTTCCCATGGGCTGTATTTGACTTAGGTAGTTTTTATATTTACAACAATTGGGGTTTCTGCACAATAGAGGTACCGACTTTCGAGAAATTGGTGTGAACAGGACATTGAACCCTAACAGCATAAATTATTGTTATAATAAAACTTGGGATTTAATTACACAGATGGTGGAACTTGTAGAAGAGAAAATGTAGTGAACATTAGGATTATTGATAATATAAGTAATAATGAATTCACTAGTTCACAACTCTTTTTTTCTAATAAAGATAGAAAGCTGAGAGATTTAGCGATTCTTATTCCGGAAGAGGACTACAATCCCTGAAAACTTCAGCTCATTTGAACTTGAACTCACAGTTCCAGAAATAAAATCATGTTAAGCAATTTGGAGTAATAATTTATCAATTTTTCAATTTTTCTGAGTGCCCCTTTTCATAGATTCCGGCTCCAAATCTCAGAAGAATTAAATGAATGAAGTTTGGAGGATCCCAAAGGACCGTTAGGACACAAAATCCCAATAAACAAAAATTTGAAATTTCATCGTTTTAGTACCTACTGAGGTAGCTACCTTATGATTTAGATTTTGGAGAACTTTGAAAAGTCATAAGTTTTTTTCTATTATAGATAGAAAGCTTAAATTTTCAGCGATTTTTATTCCAGTAGAGAACTAAAATCCCTGAAAATTTCAGCACATTGGGACTTATAGTTCCAGAAATAAAATCGTCTTAAGCAATTTGGGGTTAATTTCTTAATAATCCAATTTTTCTGAGACCGTTTTTTCCATAGAATCCGGCTCCATAAATCTAAGAATAATTTCGTATCTCGAGTTCTGAATGATCATTTAGATACAAAATCTTAACATAAAAAAAATTTGAAATTGTATCACTTTAGTAAGTTCTAAGTAGAACTATAATATTGTAAAGTTAGCTGCAGTTTCTAAGATTTCGAATATTGATGAAATATCTTGGTAAAGTTTGATAAGTCAATCTTCAATCTTTTTCATTGACAATTTCAACAGGAAATACTGTCAGAGACCATTTTTTTCTTCATCTACAGTCAAATTAATCATCTTCAAGCCATCTAATACAACACTTTGTTAAAACGATCATGGCTTATATCAGTTTTATTCCAGAAGGATTTTTGAAGGCTCTACTATGTAGTTTTTGAAGCTCTTTTCGTATTCTTGGTTTCTGAAGCCTCTTGAGCTTCCACAATTTTTTTCAGCATCTTCATCTGAATTTTCCTTAATATCTTCTTCAGCAGGTTCAGCCATCTCATAAATTTAATGCTTACGACTGTGTATACCAAAAAATATAAATAGAATAAGGGGGCTTTTAGCACACTCTCACCTTGTGTATTCTTATAACACAATTAAACTCTGTATCTTGCAGGAATTTTAACATTTCTCCCAGATCTGGTCTCTGAATGGTTTTTTAACGACTCACCTTTCTTGGGAATATGTTATTATAATCCGATATCAAGACGATATTTCTAACTTTTACTGTCTGTTTAGAATTTTTCTTGGGAAAAAGACTTAGTTGACCTAAATATTCTGTTTTGAACCTCTTATTCAGATCTTCTCTTAATTTCAGTCGATATTTAAATCGTCTACTCAGATCATTGTCTTCAACTAAATCCAAATCTACATTTTCACTTCTTTAACAGCTTTTAGGGACATTGACATGGCGATCTTCAGACCTATATGTCAGTGGTCGTGCATTCAAATCCGCCTCATAATCGCAGAGTACGGTCTGTAGCTCTTCCATATCAAGGCTCGTTTTTCCAAGTGTTCTACGTAATAAATCTTTCAACATCCCTATGAGACGCCCCCACCAACCAATCCCACCAGGCACCTGTTGGAAGATTCATTCTCCATTCAATTTTCTGTACAGTACTACAGTTTTCAGCTACTATTGATCTTCTAAAGCATTGACACATCCAACGAAATTCTTTCCACAGTCGGAATAAATTATTGAATTTTTGAATAAATCTTCTTAACGTCTATAGAAAGGCATTACTGGATAGGGATGAAGTCAACTCAAGATGAACAGCACGGTAGATGGCACAAGTATACAGTACGATCCACAATGTTTGGTTAGATTTGAGATGTAAAGGGTAAGCTAAATCTATTCCAATAACCTCGAACACTGCAGCATCCCGTAAATGCTCTGTTTTCCGGTAAACGTATAGCAGGACTACCAAGAGTATCTAACAATTTACCTCTAAAACCTACCTATAGTACCTACATCCATTAATAATTGATTTAACAGTGCGTCTACATTGAAGAATCCAATAGTTTTCCCGTAAAATGCTCATCAATCCTTGTACACCAACATGGTTGTTTTAACTGTGTTCTTCGAAAATAAGACGTTTAACAACAACATGATTTGAGGGTAAAAGGTTAAACATACGACATACGGAAGTTTTTTTTTCTGTAACAATTCTGTCTGATATCTTTTAACCTCTCTTCATTGATAAACGGACATAAAGGTGACAGTTTGGGGTCATTTTCGGACTGAAAACTTTCTTCTTGTATAAAACGAATGACAACTTTTCTTGACACTTCTAATTCCTTTGGTGTAGTCTATACTTTGGTGTCAAAAAGTTCTTGTTTTCAGTATTCTTTTTTCTGCAGTTATTGACAAATCGTAGCATCCACGCAATCATGTTGACTATTTGGTTGAATTTTGAGTAATACTAGTAATACCATGCACCATGAAAAATCTTTGGTTTCAATCAAAGAAGAAATTACACTCTCTTTTTTCCTTACTAACTTTTTCTTCGTCGCACTGAAAATTTTGACTTGGCCACTCTGAAACTGGATCAAATATACATCGAGGTCCCTCCCATCATCTTTCAGCTAGTGCTTTCGCAGAACAGCCTCTTGAAGGAAGATCTGCTGGGTTCAATTGACCAGGAACATGGTACCAATCTTCAGGTTTGGTAAACTTTTTCACTTGTTCCACACGATGAACGGTTTTCATTGGTCTTCTCTCCTAATCCAAAATAGAACTGTTGATGAATTTGACCAAAAGAAAACTTGAAGTTTTAAACTGTGATTATTGTAAAAGTTTGTATAGTTAACTTCTTGACAGGTGCTACTCTAAATTTTGGTTCAATTAGTCTTACACCCAGTTTCACAATGTCTGGTGACCTTCTTGGTCACTTAACTAATCCGTTTACAGTAACCAATGGTTAAGGCATATAGCGTTTCACAGCAAAAAAAATGTGCTGGTCAATTAACCAATATTTTGTTTTAATTTTTCTTAGGTTGTCAGCAGAATTTTTAGATTTTACGATTTCACGGCCATTTAATGACAAAAATTATTCAAATGAATATGCAAAATAATCTGTAATTCCTCCACAATCTACACTTATTCTTTCCACTGTTCTTGGTGATAATGGTGATAAACCCAAGTCTAAACCGATCAAAAGAATCTTTTTTATCATATTCTTCAAAAAAAATTAGTTGTAGGTTTAACTATTTTTGCACGTCGTCTACCTTCATCTTCTTTATCGATGCATTCTTTTCATATACTAAAGGCCCCCACAGACGCTCGTGGTCGATTTGCGCAAATTTATCTGTACAGGGTTTTTTTTTTATGTATTGACACCTTACCTACAGCCTTTACCTTTACAGGTAGATCCCACATAACAGTGAAAGAACATTCATATTCTCAGAATATTCCCTCAAAGTACTTTTTGGAATGTTCTTTTAGGAATGTTCAATGAATATTCTAAGATTATTGCGATTGAAATATTCATTTTTGAACGTTCTATTTATGTACTAGGAATGTTGCTTCTATGCACCTACCTGAAAGATTGTACTAAGAAGCTACTTTATATAACATTATTTGAATATTCTCATACGATCATTATTATAATGTACCCTGAAAAATGTTCTTTCGGCTAATATCTTTATCAAGTATTAAGAATATACCTACCTACCAAGTTGTGCTGAAAAGTTTATGTAGGTAGGTACCCATGATAAGAATATTTCCATATTGTTCACCTAAT